CTCAATATTGCATACCCATTCTCCTTGTGAGTAATGAAATTGTTTTTACGTCCATGATGCAATCTATCGCATTCGGTTTGTAATTATGATCAGGATAATAATTATTGTTCGTTTTATTGTAGACGAACTCAATTTTTTGTTTAATAATTGATATGCTTAACACCAATAAGGAAAATTGATTTATTTGATACATTAGCGTTTTCATTGTTCACTTTTTCATGTAAATTGAGGTCATATTCATTTTAAAATATTCAGTTCAGAAACGCGTATATATCGATTCTCAATAGGTTTGCGTGAGTTCTTCTACTTTCCGTTAAAATTATGTGCCTGTACGCCTTTTAGGAGAACAATCAAATTGTATAAAAGAAGTAGGCGCAGGTATTAATAATTTAACGTCGAATTATTAATTAGTGGTTATCTATTACCGTGTACCTACACGTAAAACATAAAAAAGTAATGGATATCCAAATTATTAACTCTAAGGATACCTTATCATATTAATAAAACCTCATACCATCCAAAATTTATATATGTATAAGTGTATGTAAGTAATTTTTAAGTGGGCAGTCCGGGATTATAAATCGGGCGCTGAGTAACATACACTGCAGGATAACAGAAAGTGACGAGAAACTTTCCGGTAGTTAACGTCAAACGGTATAAGACAGGTGGTATAAATAGTATAGACGAGAAGTTCAAACACATTTTGAACTAAACAAAGACAATTGGAGGCGGTTAACTTTCCATTTTGCCAAGCGATCTGTCGATGAGGGAAGTACCTGCAAGACGACCATTTCAATAAAAATAAGTAGTGTCCGACCGAAACTGGTTTTTACGACCGAAACTGAAACCGGAACCAAATTTCGGCAACGGTCTCAGTTTCGGCCGAAACCGAAACCGAAACCGAAACTTCCTTATAAGGACCATGTTTTGAGAGAAAAATAAAGAAAACGTTATTATAATCAGTCAGTTTTATTTTTTTATCTTTAAATCACATAGCTCTGCAGTCTTTGACATTTTCACTTATTGATAATCAAATCAAAATCAACATAACAACCCCTCATTTAAGGAAATACTTTAATTGCGCCTTGAAAATACTTAAAATAGGTGAGATGTTTATTTGAGTAAGTATAGTAGACTAGACTCATTTTTCTTTTGAAGATTATTCATGCTTTTTTTTATATAATATTAAACATAAAATTACTTTTGTTATTGTTCGCTTGGATGGAATTTAACGCGCCGAACATGACCGAGCAGAGCGCGAGAACTCCCGAACGCAGTTTCGGTTTCGGTCGTAGTTTCGGCAGGTTTGCCGCCGAAACTGAAACTCGTTTTTTTGCCGAAACTCGACCGAAACCGAAACCGAACTTTCGGTCGGACACTAAAAATAAGTCGTCACATCCGTTGTATTTACCGAGATTTTCAGAGTTGGTTTGAATGATATATGTGCGGAACTATTAAAAATTGACGTTACATCAAAGTTGTCGTCTTAACCGATGTTATTAAAAACGAGTTCCATTGTACCTATTGGTTCAGGGGCATTGAAGAATATTTACCCCTTGTTGGTGATTAAAAACAACTACAATTTCTTTCTTTATTTAGGACTTGAAATATTCACGTTTGCCTGCATAATTTCTGTATAAAAGGAAAACGCCGTGACCTTTAGGTTTCGATTAATAATTTAAATGTGAGCTAAATATACGAAACGAATATATGTTTACTACTTTGTCCAAAAATCTGGGTTTATGTCCCGTATGTTAATGACCCATATAATAAATGTTTACACACACGAAGCATATGCATAAATCGGCCGGTCTTTGCCAAAAATTCGTATTGTAGAAACAGCAATACAGTTAATTTATTGAGGAAATTCATTCACGCGTCTAGCATAAAACAGTAATAAACGTATAATAAAGAAGTGCAGATTCGCGAAAATTTCTTTCATCTCGCTGCACTACACATGTAAATATTTATAAAACACTTCAACAGAGCATATATTTTCAGAATTCTTGTTAACAACGTTTTTCACAAAAAGAACAGGTTGCTGAATAAACTTCCATTTCAAACGGCCGTACGTACCAACAAAAATTATTTTCGTATGATTTATTGTCATCGAACCGTTGAAAATTAAAATACGTATAGTTCAAAAGGTTAGTTGTGTAGCAAGCACGTGCGTGTTTGTGTGCGATCGAGCACACGTATGTGTGAGCGGCTTATCGATTCGCCAACTAGCCGCGGGCGCCTTTCTTCATATGCACCGTATTTGTAAATGTGTGTCGTACCTGCGTTCTGGGAAAGCAGTTAAACAGTTTAAAGAAAAACTAAACGATCCGGATGTTTCTAGAGGGTTCCAGAAAGGAAACAAAAGAGTATTTAAACGAAGAGACGATCGCCGAGAGGGGGAGAAATAAATTGACCGTTTCAGAATTGAATCGAGAAATAAATTGACCGTTGCAGAAGTGAATCCAGAAATAAATTGACAGTGATAGTAGTGAAATAAATAACGCAGTGAATAGTGATATGTCAACAGTAGTGTAAATAAATAGAATAATTGATAACCTAAGTTTAGTAATAATTTAATAATGTTTTTAAGTTCTTTAATAATTAGTGTAAATAAATACTTTTGTCGTTATCAGTCTTAGAGGTTAATTTTGTTAAACCCACGAACATTATAGTTGGTTAGTCCATGCATTTACAATATGATTTGGCGGTGTTTGCTGACGGAGGTAATGGCGAACAGTAATGCACCCGCTGGTCTGTAGATACAGTTTAACGAATGTTAGGTACGTGCTTATTTACAACGAGCATTATCTAATTCTTCCAGGTAAATACTAAATTGGAACATTAATCTTCTTTGTAACAGAAAACTAAATCGTGTAATAGTGCAATGTTACAACCTGCTGTGTTTCGTAAATCAGAATGAACTATTGTAGATGTAGTTGTTTGCGTGTGAGATAAAATTGAAATAAAGAGAAAAACTAAGCTTTTATTATGAGATTATAGTTTTTAAATGTCTTATTATTTTATTTTGTATCAATTAGTATATTAATACCTATATACAAAATCAACATTCATTTTTTCGTCGTAGTTTGTGTTATTCGTTGTTGAGGTGTGTCAGTATACAAATTATGTAGAATGGGTAGTACCTAAGCATTATATCTTTAACTGAAGGGAGGTGGCAGCAGTGTTGCAAGATTCATCTAATTTGTCTGACTTTTACAGTATTTTATAATACATTTAGCTAGATGTTATTTTAAAAGTTGTCATACGTTGTATAAATCAGACAATAAATAAATGTATTACGTGCACAAAGAAAATTTACAAAAGAAATTCATTTTTCTGAAGTGCTTGTCTTGATTCTTAAGCACATTTTAACGTTAATAACGTTCCTATTAATTTAAATGACACCGCTTTATGTGCGGCGCGGTAGAAAAAATTGAATTAGATCGTTCCGCGTTAAATAGAAAAAGCGGAGCAAGCTAAATAGAAAAGCCAGAAGCTGACGTCCTTAAAGACTCCTTTGTCGTTTAGCTTGTTAAAAATTCATTCACTAATTTCCGCTGTTTGAGATGACCGTTCTTCCCTTTATTTAAAAGTTTACTTTTGAACCGGACGCCAGTAGGTACCTACAGTAGGCGCTTTAAAGACTTAGATTAAAATGAATGTCAACAGTAACGAAATTTGAGAGCAGAACGGAGGCAATTTTATGTAGGTAACGGAATTACAAACATCTCTTTTTACTTTTTTATTTATTGTCTGAAACCAAAGATACATGTACCATAAACTGACTAGACAGGTTGGCAAGTAAAAACTTATTGCCGTAGGAAACACGACACCTACAGCAAAAATGAGACGTTCACAAAAAGCATTAAAAAGTTTCGGCGTACCGCAAAATCTCTCACTTCACTTGTTATTATGTCAAGAACTACACAATGTTTTTTAAAATTATATTTTTCATCAAATTTCTTTGCAAATTATCCTTTATATACTTCTACAATTCATATCCATCAAACGAAGACAATTTATTGCCATCTAGTGGGTATTTGCTGCTACTAAAGTATTTATTAGGACAGTATGCGCACATCGATCTGATATCGTGGACCTTTCTCTAAGTAAACGGACAATAATTTGTCTAACTGAATCGACGGGTGGAGGAATTGGGAAAAGGGGTGGAGAAATAACATTCATTTACATGTTCATTAAAAATGTTAGGTTACATTTTCTTGACAACGGTGTTAATGCGTCTCATTTTGAACGGTTTCAACAATACTTACTATTAGGTAACTCTCATTCATAAGTAGCTTTGCTTCTCTTTTAGGGTTCCGTAAGGTCGAATGACAAACGGAACCCTTCTGTCTGTTCGTCTGTCACAATTTGCTCCGAATTTACGAGGCCAATCAAGTTAAAATTTAGTACAAATATGAATTTATATGAGCCAAATATGGGCGCATAACGTAAATCAATTAATTTTTTAATATGGGGGTTATTTTTGGAAACTATACCGTGTGACATATCAAATGAAAGGGCTTGTTGTAATGGCCTCAAATATATTTTTAATAATTTTAAAATAAATAGATGTAAAGTTATTTAAGAAAATCGATGAAAATTGACCATATTCCCTCTTATCTTCTACTAAATCTAAACTATTAAAAAAATACAGAAAATAGTTCATTACTTATAGATTACAGGAAAATAAATAAGAAGGCTATGGTCTGAACATAACGTAGTAAATCGTTCAACACAACATTTTCAGTTTGAAAATATGGGAGAACATGTTGTTTTTCAACCAGTATGTTAAGTTGGTTCTCGGATTAGGGTTCCGTACAGATTGTGTTGCAACTTGCAATGAAATAACAATAGAGCAGTTTCTTGAGATAATGTTTTTAAGAAAGTGCCCCATTTGTTAGAATAATAAACTTTTGAAGAAGGGCCTTGAGTCATACATGTAATAACGAAAATAGGTAAAGAACTACACGAAGGGGAAATAATAATAGTGCTATTACCTGTTGTTACCCCTGTTTGACGTTGGATGGCCGCCTCGAGAAGGAACCTATAATAAGAGAGCGCGTTAGAGTAAGTACATAGTGTGTTTGTACAACATGGCAAACAAAGTAACTGAATCGATAATACTGGACAACCACGGAACCATGTATTGCCAGCTGGCTCTGTAGAAAACTGGGTCACAGATTAGAGTTATAGGCAAATGCACATTTCATTTTTCAATTTTATCCTTCGGCCCAGTTTCTATCAACAAAAGCACGAGCTAATTCTCTAAAGGAAAAACTTAGGATTCGTATATACTATGAGCTCCAGATAATAGAAACCGTATTTCATTGAAAGAATAAAAGGAGTAGGTATATAAAATGAAATTGTACATACAGAGTGTTTCAAATCCTGATCTACAGTTACTATTGGTTTAAAAATTAAAATAAGTAGTTACTTGGTTTTATTTAACTAAAAACAAAAATATTGGTATGCAAGGGAAAGAGTGAATATAAAGATAGGAAGCGAAAAATTGGAAGAAGTCGCTGATTTTCGGTATCTAAGCGGTAAAAGCGTTCAAAATATTGTGTTACAGGCGAATGATGAGGATATAGTGGATAGAGATAGATTACTGTTCACATATAGTTAAGAATATAGGATGTTCTAGCTTTGGAAAATGCGAAGATTAGTTTAGGACAGGAAAAAGTGGGGGTGCGTGTCCAACCAGTTTTAGGACTGACGACCGTATAATGATGATGATGGAATTGAAAATAATTACTTACCAACAAATAACAGACTTCAAAAGACTTAAATAAAGATATGGAAATAATCCATATAGTGTTTTTTTTAAAATACTTTGAACGATATTTTTGAATTTGTATTACTTGGCTTCGACTTCAAAAAAATATAATCTCATCATCATTATACGGTCTTCAGCCCAAAGATCCAATATCTGACTATTTACGAGTAGTAATCTTATCTATAATCCTCTTGACTTAATAACGCCCTTTGTTTACCTTTTCTAACTATTTAGCAAGTTGCATACTATTGACCATCTTGCTACTATTATCATTTCATTTAACTTTTCTTTTGTTCTTTTTTTAAGGATACTATAAACGTTAAAGCGACATTATTTACAAGAAACATTCTAATTTGACAACTGACGCGTACGTTTCGTCTTTAAAATATATGTAGGGCTTCCTCAAAATAGATTTATAATACGCGACCTTAACCTTACAACTCATACTTTGCTATATGGTTAGTAACGTTGCCTCATCTCTCAAAGACATAAACAAAATCTGAATATTGTTACTTTAGTTAACAATATCTATTTATCTGTGTCGTACAATGAAGATTTTTCAGTTTTAAACATAGAAAAATGTTGTATTTATCGTATAATAGGATGTACTTTGATTCAGTTCATCGGAGGAATCCAAAGCAGTCACTTTGGAACGCGGCCGTGTACGTGTGCGAAACATGGACGATGGGCGCGGCGGAAAAGAAAAGGTTAGAAGCGTTCGAAATGTGGTGTTATAGGCAAATGATAAGGATACCGTGGATAGACAAGGTTAGAAATGAGTAGCTATTAGAAAGAATAGGAGAACAGAAGACTCTGTGGAAGTCAAAAATAAACCTTTTCAGCCATGAAGGTCTAGTCAGAGACATATTAAGGGCTGAAGCAGGAGTTAAGAGAAGTAGAGGTAGACCTAGATTGGATTAATGTTCATCAATAGTTAAGGATGTGGGATGTTCTGGTTGTAGGGAAATAAGATTAGCTCAGGATAGGGAAGAGTGGAGGTACGTGTCCTACCAGTCTTAGGACTGACGATCTTATGATGATGATGATGATAATTGTTTTCAAAAATTCCAAAACATTTTAATGAAGCAACCAATATTTTAACTTCAAAAAGTTCTAAATTAATAATAAAACGTTATACAAATTTATACCATGATTTAGTTTCCTTTATCGGCGGTCTTTTGTTTTTTTCAGGAAATTGAAGGATATCTAAGCATTAAATGGTTAGTATTTCACAACTAATTGCAGAGTACGTACTCGCGTTCATCGCGTAAATCTGCCACTCCCTAAATTAAATGTAACTTCCACGGTTCGTTTCTATAAAAGAAATATTTTTAATAATAATAATATGACGCATTTGAGTATAGCAGGACGGGTGTGGTTGCAGGCTTGGTTATATTCCCCTATGCTTCAACCTAATGAAAACTGCAAATTCGTGACACGAACACGTTTCCTACTAATGTACGAACAGAATCAGAAATCATGAATAGAATGTGTTCGAGCTCGTTCCTAGACGTGTGCAATGCCGATTGTCACTGGTACTATCAACAAAGAACAAATTAACTAGATACATGTTTCACATTTCACATTTCACATTACTAACGATTCAACCCCATTCTCGGAACCTCAATCGCAGTACAGTAAAGTACTCTCCGATTACGAATTTACAATCGAGATACGTATTTCAATTGGTTTTATCAATGACGCAGTGGCGGGTGCTAGATCCTCATCTTGGATTATACGTAAACCAAAAATAAATTTGTTTTGTACTTTTTTGTACTACATCATCATCATAAGGCCGTCAGTCTTACGACAGGTTAGACACTCACCTTCACTTTCTCTTATCCTGAGTTAATATTCGAATTACATAACATTGAAAAAAAAAACTTTTGGGTGTTTCATTCCCACCAGCCAGTAATGCTGGTGGGCGGGCAGTCCCTCCGGACTATGCCGAAAGGTAGGGCGGAAGGCCCTCTTCAGCCTGCTTTCAGGAATCGTGGTTATGGGTGGGTGGTGGTTCGGGTGAGAAAGATGAGACGGACGAAATGAAGACAGAAGAGAATGAAAGATTATCTATGGAATATTACTGCCTCAGCATTTGCCTGGGTGATCCAAGGAAACCACAGAAAAATTGGACCAAGGCAGACGGACTCGGAATCGAACCGGCGTCCTCCCGAATGCTAAGCAATGGTGTAAACCCCTAGGCCATGCCGCTCGGTATAACATTAGAAGATCCCACATCCTTAAGTATTTGTGAACAGTAATATAATATAGGTCTACTTCTGCTTCTCCTAACTCCTGTTGCCTCTAATGTGTCTCAGACTAGACCTTCACCTGAGAAAGTGTCCTACCAACCTATCTGGCCTATTTTTTGTTGACTTCCATAGAGTCCTCTGTTCTCTTACTCTTTCTAATACCTCTTCGTCTTTAACCTTCTCTATCCACGGTATCCTCAACGTTCTCTTGTAACACCACATTTCGAACGCTTCTGAAATTTTCTTTTTCACCACACCCACCGTTCATGCTTCTGTACAGCGCCGTGTTAGAGACGTACACCTTTAACAATCTTTGTCTAAATTATCCTCCGCGATTATTTTGTTGAAGACAACTCGACCCTGCTCTATTCTCTGTTTTATTTAATATCTCTACTGCTGATCCTGAGTTATCTGACTTCCTAGATAGCGAAAATCAGCCACTTCTTTTGTCTCTTATCTTTATATTCGTTCTTTCTATACTTTTCCTTTCCTTGATGCATTCCAGTATTTTTGTTTTGGTTTTATTTATTTTCATACAATACTGTTTTCTCAATATTTCTTCTCTGTTTATTATAAAACGGCGACATTCCAACACTCAAATTGCGCAGCTAGCTCTGAAGCATGAAACAGCCCGATTTTGAAACGCGTTTTTTATGTATTAAATAGAACTTCACGTACAGTTCATGATGACAGGGCTCTAGAGCAACTATTTGCAAATATACAGTAGCCGAACCTCGATAAATCAAATTAAACTCTGCAAAACTCTAAAAAATGTTTTGTTCCCTTCCCTTCAAGCCCCAAAGCCTCCATTACTCGAAATCTCAACCCTCTATCGGTCGAAATAATCAGTGAGTCTCTGCAAGCCATTTTGGCACACATTTTCCCTCTGTAACTCGAAAAATTAAATTGGACATCTGTATCTCGAACATAGCAATTTGAAACTTATAACGTCTATAGTTTGAAGAAAACTAAGTTATCGACTTTAAGAATTTTCCGATGTTAGTACACCAAATCTTAACCTCTACAAGTCGAATCAAAATCCGCCTAAGTCAAAATCCTCCATAAGTCGAAAACTCTTGGGTCTCCCTTGATGTTCAAGTGATAGAGGTTCTACTATAAATTGCTTCGAAAAGCTGCTCTAAGACTATTGTGAGCCATTCCTTAGCCTGTTTTTACATTTTCCCAGTTTTAGGTAAAAGTCACCAAAATTTTTGCATAAATATGCTATAACCTAAGTACCGAAACAAGTTACTATGCTGATTACAATCCTTATAATTAAGTGCCTAAAAATGGTCATATTTGGCGGGTTTCACTTTTTTGCGAAAAGTACTGCTTTCTGAACTGCCTAGGCGGAACTTGTCGTTTTTATTTTACAATATTTCAGTCCATATAACATTTTCCGTGCGTGCTTACGTCTTCCGATTTTTAAACAAAACACGATTGCATATATCTGAGAGCAGATTAAAACATTGCTAATAAAAATAGTAGATTCACCGTTGCAGTTTACCTTGAAGTTTGTGCAACCTTCAAACACAAAAGATCTATTACAAACTCAACTTTTATTTCTATTTTATTGTCGTGCAAATAACACCAGCACATACTATCAATTTTATTGCAAAGATCGTAACGTATCTCACCAAACATAAGTCAGTAATTTCAACGTTTATTTATTGGCTCCTTATCGACAACGAATTGACGGCATCGCGTTATTAGTTTCTTTTCATTAACAAAGTTGCGGTTTTTATTATATTAAAATGTAATTCTCTAACTCTAGTCATCGTAAGATTTCATTATATTACATGTATAAATAAATTATGTAATTATAAGAAGTATTCTGTCCTTTAGAAAAAAGAATTGTAGATTCATACTTCCGAATACGAATTATAGCAACAACAAACCCTTTCTTAAATTTTTTTTTTATTAAAAGAAGCAGGATCAATGGAGCATTATCTAAATGTTTCAAAAAAACTGCATAAATTATCTTAAAACCTCCAAAAACAACATTTACTAACCGAA